CTAAGATATGATTACTTAGAAAAAATTCTGAGGTCATACGTTATCGAGCTAAATAATTTTCAAGAATATTAAATAAATTATTATCAATCAATTAATGGATAGATAATAACATAAATTATTATAAGTAACATTACAATTTATGAATATTTCTTTTAACGACCTCTGGAAATCACTTCACAAGCACCTCGTTTGACGGGCTTATTGCTAGTGAAATAGTTTTTAAATCGCTTTACAAAGCTCGAACGAGCCTTATATTCATGCATCGTTGAAAACGGCGAGTTTACCACGGATCTTTGACAGGTGTTATCGCGCGATTACCACAAGTGTACACGCCAGTTCTTTTCGCGCCTCGTCACATTTCTTTCTTTCGTATAAAGCGGCAGACAAATCGCCGAACGAATCAAGCCACGATTTCATTGTAAATTATACGAGAAAGTACGCTCGGGCATTATTCAAAATCGCGATGATTAATCCAAGAGCCGCTTTCGATGATGAGTAGGAATAATTTGTTAACGCCGAGGCAAACAACGCGAAAGTGAAGTGTGACGTGAAAACGTCATAGCTAGCGACAAAACGACGCAGAAGAAAAAGACAATAAAGACATTACTCTCTGCTCCTTATATTTTACAGCGGCGAAATGGCAGCGTCCAGCCATGATTACAACAAATATTATCACTTATGTTCCCATTTCCATCAATATAGATTGACTTTAATTTCAATTCAATCTTTTACTCTTCATCTTTTTCTAGCTCTTATAATCAGAGAAAAAAAAAAGTTAATTGAATCAAAATCAAAATTAAACATTAGTATTATAAAAACGAGCATGAATGATATACACTTCATGAATTATCGAATCCACAATTTTATCGATATACCTCCTACTGCTTCCCTCCATCCCCGATTTCTTTTTTGTTTTATAATTCAGCTTAATTACTTTTCATAGATAGGTGTTTTAGACCTTGCTGTTCTTATTTCTCCGCAAGCGCGGATTTTTCGTGCGATTTTCATCGGCACGAATTTTTTTTTTTCCTTTTCTTTTGTAAACTTAATAAAAGATGCAATGTAGATAGGTAAAAGAAACCCCACTTCCTTTCGTAAACACTCGCAAGCACTCTGGAAACTTTCCGCGTTAGGCAATCTCCCCCGTTTACCATCGTAGGAACGCGCCATGGAAAACGGTGTGCAAAGACGGCAATTGCAACAGATGCTGTTTCGAGATTCGCTTAATCGTTGGGCCTTGAGGGCCTAGACCCAGTTACTCGGATTGCATTAAATGCTACGACCAAACTCTGCTTCGCGGCATTTCTGTCTTGTCTCAATTCCATGTCTTGACGAAAGCGACGCAATCGCGAGCGGCAGAAAGCGCCGAAATTGGAGCATCGATCGGACTAGCCTGTTTATAACTCGATTCAATTTAATTTCATTACACGTATTGCGCGCATCGTGTGTGTATGTGTGTGTGTGTGTGTGTGTGTGTGTGTGTGTGTGTGTGTGTGTAACAGATTCTATATTAATAAATTAATCTTGAATTAAGATATAATTAGAAACAAAGCAATTATCAAGTAATTTTCGCGTCAGAGGTTACTATAAATTTAGTAACGAAGGGAAGTCTCAATAAAAATATTTCTTTTCGTGGAATAAATTATTACGGCATAATTTATATGTTCACTGAAGAGAAATTTTAATACACATTTTTTTTGTATATGTGCTAAGTAAATATAAAACTTACAGTAAATAAATATTTATTTTAAAAAAATTAAGTTAAATCAAATTAATAGTTTCTATATCAAAATAGAGTCCGATCGATTTTTAGGATTCAAAAATCAGGGTTTCGGTTTGATTTCGATTTTGGCCGAAATTGCAACGCGTCGATAAACGTTTAAAAAACAACTGTTTGATTTTCATTATTAATTCGTTGACGCTTTAGACAACTTGAATACAAAAAACTTTGATGTGATCCTAATAATAACTGTAATTTAATTTCTTGAAAAATTGAGGATGCAATATTATTATATTATTATAGTTAGATATTTTAATAAAATTTTGTTTTTTAAAGAGTACATAAATTTGTCATGATTTTTGAAAATCAATTCGTTTTCGGCCGAAATTGAGCGACAACTGAATATTTATTTTTAGTTTCGGTCGGACTCTACAAATAGATGTACATATTTAGTAAATATTTACTTGGAAATAAACAAACTTATTAAAATTTAATATTTTTTAGTGCAAGATACATATATCTAGCTACCGAAGTTGATAAAGTCTACTAATTAGAAACAAATTATAGACGCAAGAGTTATAATGGGGTCGAATGTAAGCATATAGATAATGGCGCGTAATTGTGTTACTAGTGCTGCGCCGTGACGTAATTTCGTTTGTCCAGCGTGTAGTAACGACCGTTTCTCCGCTCCAACTCGAATATCGCGAGGAAGAGGTGCGCGCGATCGATTCGCGGCTATAAGCGGTACGATGCCATCGCTTGCCGTCAAGCGCGCATTCCCGAGCTTTAAAACGGCGAAAGGGAGCACGCGGTGAGACTTGAGTTAATCGCTTCCACGGTATGTAATAAGGTTAAGTTCGTATGAGCGTAGTGCGAAAACGCCCGAGCGTTGCGCTGATGAGAACCGAGTCGACGACGACGATAACTGAACACGCGCGTAAACGGCTTTTGACGTGCGGTTAGTGGTACGAACGCACGCACGGAGATATTCGACAGGAGATAAAACATGATAATAACGCCGATGACACCGAACCGTTATTGGAGGAAAAACGTCGCTTTCGTTTGGTGAAAGTAAAACGAGAAATTATTAAAATAACATGACGCGCACGATACGATACATTATGCGCGATTACGTACTCGTGGAATTAGATATGCATAGATTCTTTTTATAACAATGAAAAAAATACGTTCGCGTGTCCAGTATAAAACTATTCGTATACAGAGGCATACAGGCGTGGATATGATGTATGAATACGTGTAGAGATATACATTTACATTTAACATTTTTTTCTAGAATGAAACATTCAGATTTTACAACAACTTTTAAGAGGTACGATTCAATAACATTTATCGAAGTGCATTTGGTTGCGCGTATTATTAGCTTGTTATCAGCCTTATATGTAAGGCACATTAATGTTACACTGTTATCAAATATCGCGATTCAGCCGATAACCTTCATCGTACAATTTATTGATTGGAATTAATTTTATCGCATTTTTTTAGATGTGAAGTATTCTATTTCACCGACTTTATAATAATTTTCATTCGATGCATTAGTGCACTAACCCTAGTTATACACCTTAGTTATACACATTTTTTTTTTACTCTTGATAGTACAGTTGATGTACACACTCAGATACCCGGGATTTCTTCCAAATTTATTATCGTAACTTTCCGTAAAAATGGGCATGTTTCAATTAATTTTTTTTTTTCAATCGATGGAAAATTGATTAAGGAATAAGTCCTTGTGTAAAAATCGATAGAATTAAAAAGCTTCGAGATGTACAGAAAATTCAAGGAAAAAGAAAAGTTGAGAAACACGAAAAATCGATTTAGCAAATTGGATTGAGGTTTCCGGGACCACAATGTGTAGCTAAAGTTAAAATCGATGTGCACTGATTTAATCTAAATGTAAAAGTAAAATGTAAATACTTTGAATTGTAAAATACATATTTTATGTAACAGTATATATAATAATAGAATGTATTGAGAATTTCACGAATTAACCGATTTCTAGATTTATATAAACGCACATCTTTACCTCAATTTGTGTTTTAATATTTATCAGTAAGCACTGAGTGTATCCAATCGAATTCAATTTAGATTTTCTTTAACTTTACATATGCACATAAAACAATGTTTTTACAGACAACCATTGATAAAATCCTCTCGCGAGGTATGATCTATATAACGAGTTACGAATTTATATTCGTTTCTTGATTTAATGAATTGGTTTAATTTTGAGAAACTTTTTGTTTACATCTAAATATATGTTGGCATTATACCAATTTTGCTTTAATTAACTACCGTTCGCTATTTTGCTTTATTTACCTGATAAGAGACGGAGATTTATTTTTACTTTATCACGCGATTTAATTTTATGTTGTATATTTATTCATTTTCCTTTTTATTGATTTTATTTTTATTTTTGATTTCTTACGCGATGATATAATTCCTTCCGCTTTCGACTGATTAAGACTCAATATAGTAGAAACATATGTTATTATTCTCTTTCAAGAATAAATTCATTATGTTGATGCATCTTTAAATGCTCGTTATTTGGCCCGAATATTTTTTTTTACTGCTTTCCAAGAATCTAGTTTTATTGATTAGATACGTAAATACTTTGGTAAACTTCTTTTGTTCAACATCTTTTTCTATTAAAAACACTACATAAAAAGATGTCGCAACTCGAAAAAAAATATGTTTTCTTTCTTTCGTGCTTTCTCGGAAGTCGTTTTTCAATGACACCACAATACAGAATTATCACAGACAATTTCTCAAATTATATATTGTGAATGGTATCGAATAACGTTTACCACTACATAAACAGCATATTAGCAACATAAAACGCTAAAAATGCGCAGATATGCTTCGCGTATCTGTTCTTGATGAAAGTACTTATACAAATGATTTTATTCAACTGCTTCTCGTTCGATCACTGTTGTTTGTTTCTCTCTGTCATTATAATCTCATTATAACATAATTGTCACATATTTTTAATATGGAAATTTCTTTTAATTTATTGAAAATTATCTCTTTATCAGTTCACATTTCCATACTGGAAAATAAATATATGCCAAGTAAAGGAACAAACAGTGAATGTAAACAAAATATTTGTTGACATTCTATTCCCTCACAGGCAGTGATAGAAAGAACGTCAGGGGAAGTTTTTAAAAACGAAATTACCTTCGAATTGTTCGAATTGTTTCGTTATTCGACCGTTCACTACTTGGGTAATAATCGGTAACAATCGTTCGATAAGTAGAAAAGGACTCACCTTCGAGCTTCATGCCGACTTCGAGGCACTTCTGAAAGCGGCAGTAGGGACACCGTTTCCGCTGCGTCTTGTCGATATGACAGGACCTCTCAGCGACGCACGTGTAGACCTTCTTATTCTGGACGGTGCGCTTGAAGAATCCTTTACAGGACTCACAGGTGAGTAAACCGTAATGATAACCGGACACCTTGTCGCCGCACACGGGACACAGCTCCTCGATGATGATATCCTTAGTATCCGGGAAATCGGACGGGCAAGGTATCGAGCCGGTGACGATGCCGACCTGGCCCAGGCCAGGATGGCACAAAGTACCGCCGCCGGTCGGAACCGCACCGGCGGCGACGTTGCCACTTCCCGTGGCGGTGGCCGGTCCTCCACCGCTGACCGTGGCGTTAGCCGCGCCTGGACCACCACCTCCGGCAGTACCACCGCCGTTGCCACCGCCGCCGTTGCCGCCGCCACCGCTGCTGCTGGTGTAACTACCTCCTCCTCCTCCTCCTCC